TGTGAGGGGATGTCACATGGAGATGGGTAGAGACCTGTTCTCCCCTGCAGAGGAAGGCAGGACACACTCCAACGGAGCAAAGCTCAGGGAACCAAGGTTCAATTTATTTATTTATTTAAAACATTTTTATGCCGCCCCCATCGCAACGAAGCCTCAGGGTGGCTCACAACAGGATACAAAGTACATAAATACATAAATAATAACAATATTACATTTTTTTAAAAAAAGTTTAAAAGCCCCCGGTGCATCTTGGTTAAAAATTTAAAATCCTATTCATTCAAATAATTTAACAATTAAAATAAGTTTTAAATAAAAAGGTCTTAGCCTGGCGCCGAAAAACAAATAATGACGGCGCCAGGCGGGCCTCTCTGGGGAAATGATTTAGATGCCAGGAAGCACTTCCTGACAGTTAGGACCCCGAGGGTGTGGAATGGGCTTCCACGGGAGGTTGTTGAGGGTGTTCAAAGATAGGCTGGACATGCATATGGTGGGCATGTTGTAAGCGGAGCTGGCTGGAGCCGGGGGTCAGACTAGATGGCCCGGGAAGCCCCTTCTGACTCGCTCTGTTTCTATGTTTGTATGTTTCTAAGACTGCTCAAGAGTGACTCCCTAGGATTCAAATTCTGGCCAGAGAGCCCTAATGAACTACAGCGGACTCTTGGGCGGCTTGGTGCCGCAGTTAAAAGGCTCTGTACAAGTTGTACTTCAAAGTCTGCAGAAGCTGCCTAAGCCATGTTGGGAGCAATACTGTTTTCATCTTCAGGGTCTTGTTGATGGATCTCTGTGCTCTTGACCTTTAGACTCCTACTTGATCCTGCATCTGGACTGTGTATGTACCTGACTGCTCAACCTTGTTTTGACCTCTGCTTGTGCTTGTACTTTGACCCTGCCTGCCAAAACTGCTTCCTACCTGGTTGAAACCTTGGCACCTGGCCGTTTGCCTGTGTACCTTGCTTTCTGGATTGCCCTATTACTCAGGGTCTGCTTCAAAGCTGGACAGCAGCACAACCTCACTTTTTAAAAAAGGGAAGCAAGGAGGCAGCTGCTAGTTAAAGAGACTATAATCCTGAGATGCACTGGCAACGCCATGCCAACCTGTATGGGATGGGCTAGCACAGCGATTGTGTTGTAGGACGCCCAGGGGCTTATAGCAGAATGGAATCATGCTATCTCACAGCGCACAGGTTGCATGGCAAGCTGGTATCCTCACAAAACAGCTTAGCATGTGGTGTATTTGCTCTGCAATTCCGAACAGTCCCCATGTATTGGCTGCTTCATGTGAAGCTTCGTGCTTCTCAGGCAACAATGCTCCTTTATCTTTGGTGTCCATCTCCATGCTCGACTTCTTCCCAACTGGCACAGGGAACATATTATTGCTTCCATTTTTAGTTGCATCCCCCTACTTGCTTCCATAAATATGTTATTTTTGATATGTCATCAAAGTGAAAAATATATAATTGTCACTGTGACATGTTTACAGTGAGATAACTACTGATGTTTCCATCACCTCTTGGGCACCCTCTAGTGGATTCCCCAAATCTTTTCTAGCTATACTGCAGTAAGCTCCAGACAGTCTCTGTTTGGGCAGGCAATTCATAGCTTTCTGAAATAATTTCAGGGTGTTCAGCAACAATCACTTTTAAACACAAATTTATGCAAAATAATTAAATAGACAAACTTTTAAGGATGTGGCCTATCTCTCAGGTTGGACCCAATAGCCTGGAATTTCCACTGTCCAGGCCAAGGGGTGATTTAGACTGCAGTAGAATTTGAGTTGTTAAGGTTCAAGGAGTAATTTACAACTTATGGTTCTCACTGGAGATAGTCTCAAGGGTGCAATGCTGAGAATTGTCAAGTCTGGATAATAATGTGACTGGCAACCTCTGGAAAGTTGGCACCTTGGGATTGGAAGGCTAATATTACCTCACTGGTCAAAAGTGGGGGGAGAGTAAACATCTGGGAACCAAACAGGTCTTTTGTCTTCTTCTGGGTGTTACCTCGCTGGAAATAACATTCCCTAATCAAACACTTCTGAATAGAATAATCCACTCTTTGTAAAGAATCATTGAGAGCTAGTTTTCTTGTTCTGTGGAGTCCGTGGGTATAGGGTTGTAGCTCATCTCGGGGCAGTTTTGTATTACCTTGCTGGTCTTTACTTCCCTTTTGCCTTTTTTTCTTTCTTTCTCTGCTCCTTTGGTCTCTCCCCTTTCCCAATCTTTTAATAAACTGTTTTCCTACTTTGTTGTTTTGGTGAGTGGTGGTGCTGGAACTGGTGCCTTGGGGCACAGGGCTAGATAGCATTTTTGAGAAAAATCATTCTTCAGTCATGAGGGGATAGAAAAGGACCTCCTTTAATGTAATGTTAGACTTATCCTCAGGGAACTGGAAACAAGATTGCAGCCATACCCAGCTGGGCAGTATTCCAAATTGTGGTATTTTTGCTAAGGTTAGGTTGCCAAGGTTATAGAAGCTCAGTTGTTCCAATCAGCCACATTAAATATCTCTCTTCCTTGAATCTTCTACACAGAACTGGTAAACAAAACAAAATCTCAAGGCAGCTGGCACAATGAGCCTGGAACTTCACAGTGTGCAGGACACAAAGGACACTTGACAAAAAATTAGAGACAAGTTATTTAAACCATCACTAAAATCAATCAAGTTAAGCACATGATACATGCACCAATCTTATCAAGGGAATTCAGAATTATGCAGTATTTTCACTTTCATATTATAAAAGTTATTTGAGAGAAGGAACAAGTGGTGGTGATTCCAACTTGGTGTCACTTGACTTCAGTAAGATATAAGCCACATTACTCCCAGTACCTGGTAGGCAAAGCAGTAACATAACTGTAAAAATGTTTTGTGGCTACTTTTGTTGACCCGATCTTTAAAAAAAAATTAAATACGGATGGGAACCTGGTACCTATAGGCAACAATCTAGCTCTTGTCATTTTTCTCTCTCCACCAGGGGTTACAAACATCCATTCTTAGCAATAACGTCTAATTCATATCAAAGTCCTTGCAAAGCGAGTAGCACCATGCCTTGGAGTATTTAACTGGGATGATGGCAAGAGTCAGGAGATACAGGGATTTCATCTCACATATGAGCACCCCATGCCATCAGGATATGATCCCTCTATAATGTTTCTCAAAAACAGCGTATTTAGTTGGTAGAAATATAATAAAACTTACTTTAAAAAAACAGCATACAACTCTCTTTAAATTTACAAATAGGAAAATGGAACGTGTTGACTATCTCCTGTTAGATGCCTCTGAATATGGAAGATTCTGTTCATCTGTCATGGAACAAGACTGTTCTCCATGTATTTATACAATCCTTTCTAAACTAGTGGCCATCAATAAGAAACAACAAAAGCTTAGTTGTAAATAAAATATCCTGCATACAGAAGATTCCAGATTCTTCTGTTAAAGCTGAGGCAGGCAACCTGCAGCCCTCAACCTAATTTTCCAGTCGCTATGGAAATAACTCAGATCTTGGGCAAAAGCCTTTTGCCCTTTCCTTGGAAGCCAGCTGGGAGAAATGGCAGAAAGAAAATGGGTGCCATAAATAGATGAGAGGCCCACCTATGTTTGACTCTGGCCCCACCCAGCACCCCCATGGAGCCTCTGATGTGACACTGGACAGAGGAAAAAGTTGCCTTCCCCTTTAACAGTCAAAAGCATCTCAAGAATCTGGCCCCGGGAAAAATGTCTTGAGATCTCAGAAAGCCATTGACATGAAGAGAACTGAGCTATAAAAGTCTTCCTTGGAAGCATCACAGGTTCATTCATAATACATCTTCTAATACTAAATTCCTTAATTTGGTCTGCAGTCCTATTCTGAATTAGCTGTGAAACAAAAATAACAGGGATTGCATCTGAATAAGCACATAAAGGCAAAAGATCGATCTCAATCTACTAGATCTCTGGGCGATGTCTAATTCCAAACTATTTAACAAGAACAAGAACAAGAACAAAAACACCTCCTCCACATCTTCCTCAATTTCACTGTAGAAATGAAGAATGGTTGGGGTGATTTATTTTTGTGTGGGAGGACTCTAAATTCTGTTTAGTTCTTGTGCTCAGAAGAAACACATGCAAATTCTTTGGCTCAGAATCCTGTAATGTATATTTTTTGTATATGGTTAGTGGATCCCAAAATTTTAATAAAATGCAGGATAGATTGCACAAGCCTGAAGGGAACCTTCTCCTGTTGTGCTTTGGGAAGAAGTACTTTCTTTTGTTTGGTTGGTTTTATTAACAAGTAGTTTAACTTTGTAACACCCAAGTTTCTCAAGAAAGTACTTTAGCTTTTTGTTATTGGAAAGATGACACAAGCATACTGTATTTTTACATGTTCTTTTAAAATGCCATATTAGATTTTGTTTTATATGCTCTGAAACAGAATGGTACATAATATTCCAAATACTATGGACACTACGTATTTATATAAATAGTGGAATAAACATTGTTTTAATCCCTTTCCTGTTAATATTAAACATTTCATGCTACAGCACATGGTTGAAGGGAGCTTTCTGCCAAGATCCTAAGAACAATTGCATGCCAATTTACAGCTATATAATTTACCTATTATACAAATCAAGGAGGCTCTCGGGCAAAACACTGTTCCTTTTAGTGTGCCAGCCAGCAATATTATCTTCCCTGATATTCCATCAAATCACCTTGATGATGGTAAGAAAATGACTCCAAACCACTCCTTCCTGTGCTACCAGGTGATTAAAGAAATCTGGGATCAGGCAGGAGAACCCTATGCTGCAACTCCAGTCCAAGTTAACATCAGTCCCCCAAAACAACACTAATCCTGACAGGATGAATCTTACTATGACTCAGATGCTGCAGAAGGAACAGAAAGAAGTTGTTGTAGATGCATGGAGAAGTTTTAAGCATGTCACCCTCTCCACACAGCTTCTGTTTCCCCTGTGTAAGAAATACCACCGGCCTCTATTTTTAAGGATGTTATGAAAGCAAACTCAGTACTCTTAAAAAGGAAACCTCATTTTTATTGAAAATAATGTTACGTTATGAAATAATACTACTCCCAACACAACAGTATAATCTCTCATTAAGTGAAAGTGGTTTTACTGTCACTACAATTAAAACAGTACAGTACTTGTACCATGTAACAGACATCACAACTACCATACATTTAAATGCAAATTATAGTTTCCAAATGTTACTACACAACATAATTGTAATATCATGTAAAATACAAAACCTTTTTAATCTATCCTCTGTTACTTGAGTTAAACAGGCTAATAATTTTGTACTCAACTGTTCAACTGTTAAATAACTTTAGGGGCTCAGAATTTTAAAATGCTTGAACATGTCTTCTACATAGATCTTCTAATACGATAGTTTGAAAATACAGAATGTAAATGAAGATTTGTACATTAAAGTTAACCACTTAAAGAGTTTCACACAAAAAAAAGTTCAACCACACATGAAAGTAATTGCTTAATGACTTATATTACAGTGTCAGAAAATGACTGTATTACCTATCAGCTCCTTTTCTTATATGTCCAATGCTTGTTAGACCTGCTTTCTCATGTGCATTGGCCTTGATCCAGTGACTGAGAACATGTCATTTTTCATTCTACAAGTGCAAGAGGCCACTGCACATAGTCAAAGGTTGCATCTACACGTGCAACAGCCTGGGTTGATAGAAGGAACTATGTCGTTTCAGTCTGTAGATGGGAGGATCTCTTTATTTCACTTCTATACCACCCAAGAGCTGAAGCTGTATGGACAGTTTACGACAGTTCACATAGTGAAATCTTTTATGTTAACTTCCTGCCCCCACATATTATGAAAAGGAAAAAACAGTATCAGAAAGCAAGATTCTAGCCTAAGCATGTGTCTTGCCAAGCAGGTTTTCAATTTTCAGGGATTTTTGAAATAATTATTATATATGGGAACATTCAAAAGTGCTCTCTCTTGTATGAAGTGGTACAGTTCATTTTGCAATTTCACTTGCACCTTATTCTGTCACCTGTTAAGATCTGATTAAAATCTGCCCTATCCCACTGATCATGTACCCAGTCTGGAAATCTACATACACATTTCTGTTAGGGGATGGTTAGTTAGGGGATGGAAAGGACTTTCAAACACTCCTTCCCCTGTGTACCTGCAGTTTGGTTGACAAGAGAAATGGATATCCAAAAACATTCTGTGTTGGATGTTTGGATAAGTTAATTAAGATCAATTAGCACTTCTCTTTCAAAATGGAGACATGTAGGGAAATTAACTGCAAATTTTCATTTCAGTATTTTTAACAAATGTAGATCAAACAGATGAGAGTCTAGACAGTTATTCAAATTTCCCATGTTAAGATACTTCTCTAGACTGAACACAAACTAGCTTAATTTGAAAGACCATTTCAAACCTAAAGTTCATGTTGCAGAGCATCCCACAACCCCAAGACTAATTATCTGAAGAAGTTATCTTCACACCTGAATTCAGTACTCTTGATATTCCAAGAGGCACTGAAATATTGCCAAAAAAGATAGTCAAACAGGGGTTAGCAACCTCATTTAATTCAAATCAAGATTAAAATCAATAGCAAAAGGCTATTTTGGGCAGCTGAATCCTATCCGAGGTGCAGATTTTCAGTGCAAGCCTTACTTGTACTGCAAGAGCTACAGAAGTATTCTGTGAGAGATAAGAAAGGCACAACTTGATGGCTACTCCCACCTTATGGAACATGGGCAAAGATCCAAGTACAGCTTCTATCCAGTACACTAACATTAGGCTGTGGCAGCACCAAGGATTTGAAGCAAGGAGCACACGATAGTTCTGCTTGGGAAAAATAAAACACAGTCCAGTTCAGCAGTAGCCTAAGTTTCATCAGCACAAAGAAGGGCACCAGCTGGCCCAGCTGCAGGGACCTCCAGATCAACTATTATTTGACTCAAAGAAAGGGTGCTGGACTAGATTTTTACAAAAAAGTGTTCCGTACACTTAAGCATCAACCAAAAGGACAACACAGCAAGACCTCTTATTAATTACTGTATATTTCAGATAAGCTTTGGACAAGTTTTGTTCTCATTTTGTGCTCATAAAATCTGTATTAATGAAATAGATGCACTAATCTTCTTCAGATACTGACTGGTTACTATTTCTTTGATAAAAACTCCTGGAGTGTGAGCGAGAACTGGAATTTGTATGTTTCCGTGGAGATTTAGACAGTGATCTAGTAGCTGAGCCTGAACGTTTTGGATGTGATCGTGACTTTGTTCTTGAATTGGAACGTCTTCGATGGGAACTAGATGGTGATTTTTCAACATATTTTGAACTTCTCTGGGGTGATTTTGATTGCGACCTTCCTCGAGAACTAGAATTCCGTTGGGGCGTAACCGACCGTCTTGGTGAACTGGAATGCCTTGGAAGAGATTTTGAGCGAGATTTAGATGGGCTGTAAGAATGTCGTCCACGCCTTGACCTGCAAATCATCCACAGTATTAGATGTAGGCCTCTTGTTATGTATAATGAAAGAGCATTGTGATCCAAACCATTTGCTTAAGGTACTTGATTAGATGTACATTTTTTTCTTAGCAGGACTATATGCCGAAAGTTCCAAACATATAAGAAGAATTTAAAGCGTAATCCCAGGATTCAAAAAATATGGTTATGCATTTTTGCATCCCAACATAGTAATTGTGGCTGGGCCTTCTTTAGGCAACTTGCCTACTCTTAAATGCCTCTAGACTGGCATACCAAGCAATCATGCATTGTTACAATCTCAAATGGTAACTGGTACAGGAAGAACAAGGCCACTTGAAGGTGAGGTTTCCCCAACGCTTCAAATCGAACATTGGGAATACATACATTCTCCAACTCCCATGGCTTAGAATGCACATTTATTGCGTCAAAATCACTGTAAGCAGCCAGGGCTACTGCACTTTGGTAGAAACAACTCATATTTTCCTTTCTATTATCACTCTGGCTGTTAACAAACATGGTCCCAGGACAAATTACATATGTCCATTAGTTACATTGCAAGTTTCCTACCCTGTGAACTAAGTATCAAATTACTAATATAAATGTAATTTTTTCTATATAGGTTCTGACAGGACATGTCAGATGATAATGCTTGATGAAACTTCATTACTGTTTAACTTGTTTACTGAGGAGGAAGAGGAATTGTGTTACACAGCATTGTTGGCAAGCAGGAAAAATGCCCAAGGACTCTCCTTTCAAAGATACCTTGATAGAATATGGGCAGTGCCACTTGTGGAGAAACTAACCAATCACTTCGGTGTGGCTAGGGGAGAAACAAAGATAATTCTTTAACAACTTGGTACCATTCTTAATGTATTGTCCAAAACTGAATGGTGAAAATGGATCCCCGACATATTCTTGGGGTAGTGGATTCTAATTTGGCAAACAAATGATTAAACAATTGATATAATATTCAAATTGTATTATTTAAATAAGGCTGTATATGTACCTGTATTTGATATACTGTTTCAATAAAGTATTTAAAGGAAAATCATTTAACTTGAATACAGATTTTAAAAAAATAAAAATTGTCCTGAAGTGATCCATAGACTTACTCCTTAAAACTGTCAGAGTGTCTCCTACTCCATCCCCACGAGGAACTTCTGCTACGTGTCCTCCTTCGACTGCGGCTCCTTGACCTTCTGTAGTCCATTGGAGAACACTGACGACGCTCTTTCGATTTCATCTGACCTGGTGCTAGAATTTAAAACAGAACTGGAAGATTGCAAGAAAATGGCAGCCTCTTACATTCTGAGTATTTATTTGGCATATCCATAAATCATCCTGGGTTTTATGATATTGCTTATTTCACTTTTCATTCTCAGATATACTAAATACGGCTTTATTACAAAAATATTTTGTAAAATAAGTAAGTGATATGCTTATATTCACTTACTTTTGCGATCACCTTGTGCAAATTGTATTTCAATTTGCCGGCCACATACCCACTTTCTATTGAGGTTATAAAGAGCATCTTCTGCATCACGAACATCTTCAAACATGACTGGCTGTTAAGGACACTTTAAACATGCACAAAGCAAAAGAAAATTGTATCATATAACACAGACATACTCAGATGCTTTAAAATCAAGCAAGTTTTTTTTTATATGCCATTTAAGTTACAGCCACTTCATATTTTATGTGGCCACTTGAGTACACTATTTCAGCAGCATTTATTGTGGTAAATACATAAAATATGAAAGGATGACACATATCTTCCAACATTCAGAGAACTAAGAGTGACCACCAAATCCTTGAATATATGCATAGCATGTTTTAAAACAAATCTGGGTCCAGAAAATGGCAAGCTCAGGCATTTACCAGAGCTTCTCAAAAAGAAAAAGGTTCCTCTATCCTAAGAATGTTGTCATTCTCATTTTGCATAAGGAACCTAGGAAGGTGAGTGTGATAATTTTGTTTGTAAGCCATGTCTCTTTCAAATTAAGAGGTATCTTGCCTGAAGTTGTCAAAATCCTGGAGTCAGCTTTTGAAAATGTAAACCTTCTTTCACACTTGGTATATAGCACAGAAATCACCATGGAATATTAGTGTGAGGCGATCCTTATTTTACAAAGAAGCAAAGTAACATTGAATGCCTCCAAAATCTAATTGTTCAAATCCAGAAATGTGCATGTGCATAGAAATGCACATAAGGATTTTGATTTGATGTATGGTTTTTTGCACATTGGATTTCCCTTTCAGTTGCAAGTCTGTGTATACACAGTTGCTTTTCCACTGGTAGGAATGGCAAAAGGGCATTTCCATGTATTTTGGAGATTCTACACTTGTAATGAATAACTGCATCAGTTCAAGTTATTTACATTATGTACATCTTATTTTAAGGCCTTTAAAATTAGCATATTCTAATAGGCAAAAATCAAATACATTGAATGAATTAGTTGTACAAATGCTGCTATTCTGCAAACATTTCCATACTAATAAACATTTGACTTTCCTCTAGTTTTTCCTTCTTTATTCCCTGTACTTAAAACAAATGACTACTGATGCCATAAAAATGCACTAGATCATCTAAATGGCTAATATATTTCAGTATTCCATTCAAATTTTTCTGCTAGGGAAAAGATTAATTTACTAAACAAACATTTGCATACAGTTCAATTGTGCTACACTAAGGAAGCAATATTTAAAGGTAGAACATTTATAAACAAACAAATTCTTGACTGAAATGTAAGAGCTTGAGCGATAAGATACAAAACGAAACTTTGGCAGTTACCTCCACGTCACTTGATCTTGACCTTTACTCTTTAGGGCTTGCTAGATGGACTTGACAAGGGCCGTAGAACCAACCAAATCAGACTTGGCTTTGACTTTGGAACTTGAGCAAATGTCGGAAAGCCGAAGCCTTAACTTGGTGTTGTGGCTTTGTCTTTTCCTTGAAAAAGGACTTCCCCTCTTCCAGTTTTCTTTTTATCCTTTTCCACCCTCCCTCTTTATTCCTTGAAGCTTGAACTTTAAGGTGTCTTTTGGCTTGCCTGCTTGGACTCTATCTAACCAGGTTCATTCAAACTTTGGGGTGCTTGCCAGCCACTGTGGACTGCTTTACATTTTCTGAGACAAAGAAATAAATACATTAAGTTAGGACGCAATAACAACAATGCACCTCAATCAAAAATACAGTGACATAAAGGATATTGTATATAAGCAAATCCTCTTGGGCGTCTTGTGTAGAAGTCAAGCGGTATGTATACGTCAACTACAGGGCCATAGCGACCAAATTCACGGCGCAAATCCTCAGGCCTGAAGTGTTTTAGAAATAAGGCAGAAAAATGAATGTTTCTATATTATGGCACCTGTTTTAGCAACATTCTGCTCCAGCACCTAACAGACTTGTCTTGGGCTTTAAAATAAAAATACACTATATAACCCTATTTTTTCTTGTGCATATCCTCAAAGCTTATCCACTTCTTCTTTGGTTATTTGGTGAAATAACTGTTGCAAATGTCAAGCCTTAATCTAGGTGATTTCAATAAATCTTGTTGCAGTCCTAGTGGGAATCTAATATGTGGAAAAACCTGGCTATATAAATGACTTCCTCTAGAAGGGAGGAGGAATCTTATTTAATATGATTCCCTTTAGCAAAGATTTTTATAATCCATAAAAGTGATGAAAGTTCACCAAGACAAAATAGTCAGGGAAAGCTAATGCAAAGGGGGAGAGTGCCCCACACTTTAACAGGTAAGCAAAGGAAGGAATCTGAACATGTTTTATCTCTATATGACAAGTTGCACCTCTTAAAATTCACTGTACAACCTAAAATTTAACACCACAAAAATTACAGCTACCCTGCTCTCAACTTTTTGCTAGCCTGTATGACTCTCAATTTAATTTTGAGCAAAAGGGCAGAAACACTAAAGGAAAAAAATGACTGAGAATGAACCCAAAGCTTGCAGTTTAGAAAAAGACCCACAGAAAATGATGGGCACTTTAGATCAATGGTTAAGCACAAGCTGGTTGTGCAAAAGGTACAGTTCACTCTTTAGTGATTATTTATTTAGAGCTCTTCAATCGAGAAAGGTGCCCAGACCATCCTCCTAAGATCAAAAATAAAAGTTCCTGCCAGCAGGTTTACAATCTGAAGAACATTTCAGGCAGCACTGACTTGACAGGACAAGCAGAATGTACACTATTGGTCTAGGGAACTACTACTAGTCATCAGACTGTAGGTAGCAACTTTCAAGTCATGGGGCTGTAGTCCCAGAGGTGGAGACCACAGAGCTGCACAGATCTGAAGCAGGCATACAGATGACATCACAGTGCCACTGACAGATTCTGCAAAATCCTAGCCTGACTGAGGGGCTGGACACACGTCAATTATACTCAGATTTATGCTTTCACTCCATTAAAAAATGCTGCAAGAAAGAAAGGAAACTAGCAGACTACAAAGTCCTCCCACATCCCTTAGCAACTGCCTGAGGACTGACAAACCCAACTAGGCAGTCAGGACCATATGCCAGATACCTATGGGAAAAATAAGGCTTGTACCAGTATTCCCTGAGAAGGTTGCTTTTCCCTGTAGGAACCGGCTCAATTGTTTTCCACGAGAAGGAAATTGCCGCTTAAATTCGTCTTTGAAAAAATCCTCGGCCTACTGGTGTGCCTCTGAGAGACCCCAGGGCGCAAAGAACTGTACCCACAACTGAAAAAACAATAACCCCATTGTTAAGGCTGCTAGGAAAAGATTAGGTGAGACTTCTGCCGGCTTCTCAGCCGCGACGGGCGAAGCTTCCCCGCGCACTTCCGCTTTCTGTGCCCCTTAAAGACACAGGAGCAGAGCCGCTTAAAAAAGCGGCAACCCGGGGGAGGCGGCGCTTTTTCTTTCCCCAGCCCCATCTGCTATTTCGGTGCCCCAAACCCAGCCCCACGCTATACACCACCCAGACTCGGCAACTTTTATTTTCCACTCACCTACACCCCCCCCCCCCAGAAAAAATTACGGCAGCATTAAGAGGCGCGCCAGGCCGATCGCTATCGGCCCAGGCGAGTTCATGCTCGCCACTCCCAGTCTGCAGGCCGCCGCTGCAGCCCGCCCGCCCGCCTCTCACCTAGTGGCGTCCGCCACGTTCCTGACGAAAAGCGAGGTGTTCGGAGGCCGCGTATAGCGGGACATGGCGCCGAGGCCCGGGGAGTCTCCGCACGGAGACGAGCAACAGCGGGAGCGGGGAGGGCACAGCGAGACGCCGCGGAGCTTGAGATGAAGGCGATGGCGGAAAGGGAAGGGGCTGGGATTGGGACAAAAACTGCTGCAGGAGCAGCAGCGCCGGCAGCGAGCGGAGGGCAGAAGAAGCAGGCGAAGGGGCGGGAACAATGGCGAGTCGGAAGAGGGGAGGGGACGCGCTGCATGGCCTCCGCTTCTCAGGAGGAGTCACGGCTGCAGGGCGCTCATGCTGGCGGGGGGAGCGCGATTTGCGCGCGCGGCGCGGATGGGCATCGAGCGGCGCGCCTGTTTACTTGGCCGCGCCAGCGCTTGCACCGTGCGCACTCATGCTGCAGGGCCCCGTCCTTGGGGCCAAAGTCCAGGACCCCGTGGTCTACCCCACCTCCCGCTGACTTGCCAGCAAGGATGGGTCTGCCGAGGCAAAACACGCTGCGAATCCAGCAACGCTTACCACGGAAAAGAAAACCTGGGGCACGGGAGTTTTAAGACTGGATCTGCCAGGGAGAAGGTGGATGAAGCCTGCAGCCACATAGAAGCATTCCTTTGGACCCACGTTCTGCAACAACTACGGAGAATCGAGCGACGTTCACGTTCATGAGGGTACAGTGAAGCCAGGGATGGGGAGCCATGATGCTGCCCTCGCATGATGCTCTTCTGTGATGATAGCCTCCGAGCAAACACAGCTAGGGCTGGATGAAGGCCGTGATGGGGCCTGCTGCTAGCCACCTGCAGTTAACTTTGCACACTGCCCCAACACTGAACTTGCATATGATGTACGTGCATATACACACCAAACTCAGCAATGAACACAAATAGCGCACAAACATTTTATCACTATAAAATATCACTATATTTTAGTGGAAATAGCCTTTTGTGCTTTTCTAGGAGTAAAAGACTTAGATCACAGTCTACTGCAGTAGAGAGCTCAAATACAAATCCAATTATCTTAAAGTACACACAAAACAAATGCGTATGTGTTTTCTCTCTTGTGCTCTATCAGACCACAAGATGTAGCTAACTCTGCCTCATTCAGGTACAATAACCATACATAGTGCTGATCTAGGACATTTTGCTACCTGGGGAGAACCAGCAAATGTTTCCCATGTCTCACTGATTATTCCAGCCAGTCACTATTTCTCAAAACATGCAAAATCCAATTTCCAGCATTTTGTAACATTATTTTGAAGCTTTTTCTTCTTTTTCCAGCAACAACCTACATTGCACGAATAACAAAACTGAATAAACGTCACTGAAATCATGACAAAGTGTTTATGGGGAGGGGGGACAGACAACACAGCATTGTTGTCAATACATATGTGTATTTATTGTATATTATTGTTTTTATTATATGTGCATTTGTTTTAGTATGACATGTTTTTATTGTTTCTTTGTAATCTGCCCACAGAGTCCTTGGGACTAATTAACTGTGGGATACAAGTTGAATAAATAAACACGGAAGCACTTATTTGGATCATATGCACCACCAACATTTCCTATTGTACAGGAAAGCAAATTACTTTAACAACATGAGTGGAACAGGACAGACTATATAGCCATGATGATTATATATGATATCACAGATGAGGTCCAGAGGAGGGCAACAAAATGATCCAGGGATTGGAAACACTGCCCTGTGAGGAGAGACTGAGAGAATTGGATATGTTCAGCCTTGAGAAGAGAAGGCGGAACAGGGACATTATATCACTCTGTAACTACCCCAAAGGCTGGCACAAAGAGGAAGGTCAAGATCTTTGCTGACTCATATCAGAGTGTAGCACATGGAATAATCAACTCAAGTTGTGGCCACCCAGGTTCAGTCTAGATAACAGGAAAAGTTTCCTCACTGTCAGAGAAGTAGGACAGTGGAACCAGTTGCTTAGGTTTGTCATAGGCTTTCCCACACAAGAGGCATTCAAAAAGAAACTGGGCGGCCATCTGAGTGCAATGGTGTAAATTAGTGACTGCAACATCGGGGTTGGACCCAATGGCCTTCATGGCCCCTTCCAAGTCTAGTAATTCTATGATATCTTTAGAACCACATGGCAAAGCAGCCTTTGGAACAGTCATCAAATTTTGAAAGCATCCAACCTCCCACACTTTTGCATATCCGTTTCAAAGTGTCCATCAAAGCAGCACAGTAAAAAATTCCAGTTTATGCATATCTTTTAAAGTGCACTAGATTGCTCATGAGAAACATGGGTGGCAAGTTATGAGTACACCCACTGTCTATCTGTTTGCATGTGATAATGAGGATGATATCTCCTGGGAAGGGAGCAGGACCCCATTACAAAACACACAGACACTCATTGTATACACAGAAGCACACACTCAGAAGCACCCTCCCCCATTCACAAACATAGGCACGCTCCCATTTACACGCACAGAGATACTCAGCCCCCATGGCATTAACACACGTACACATTGCCAGTGCACTGATGCACGCACACAGTTCTAAAGCACTCTCATCCCCACACCCCAAAGCATCCAGGTCCACACATTCCTATCGAGCTCCTCAGAAACCTGTGGAATGACTTCTGATGTGGCTGCTTCACGTGGAGCCCGGCTCCATCAAGTCTTGCCTCCCCTGCCAGCCAGCCTGCCCAGCTCCTAGAGGTCTCCAATTGCCTGGCTCAGCTCAGTAAACTGTCCAATGAGCCAGCTGGCACTCAGGGCCTTTGTTTTCATTTATTTATTTCTATGGCCAGAGATCTTTGGGCAGTTTTCAACAATTCATAAGTCCAGGTACAATAATAAAAATTGTTGACAATAAAATACATTTGCAATACAAGGAATCATAAAATCCCAATATAGAAACTCTGAAACAATATAAACAGCTGAAACAATGTCAATAAAAGTATAGCAGTTAAAACAGCTGGCAGGCCCCATCATATTTCATGAAATGCCTGGAAAAAGAGAGCAGTCTTAACAAAGTGCCAGAAAGTAACAGTGTCTGTTCCAGTTGAGCCTCAGTGGGAAGAACCTTCCATAATTGGGGTGCTACCCTGGATAAGATCCTCTCTCTCTTTTGCCTTCCTCTGGGCTTCCCTCCCTTGGAGGTGAAAGCCAGAGGATGACTTCAGTGGTAGATTGGAGCAGCCTGGCAGATTGAGCCTGAGAGATTGCATCATTGCTCAGAATGTCCCCATCAGAAGGGAGAGAGAGGTAGGCGGTGTCATAATTTGATGGCACCAAACCTCAAAACTCCCAAGAATCTCTCCCAGCCCTTTCATGCATTTGTTAAATAACATGGGGAATATGATGGAACCCTGATGGACACCACAGATCATCAGCCATAGCATCAAAGAGGAATGTTATGGTTTCTGACATGAATCCATCAGAGGAAAGGCAGAGAGAAAACTAACATGAACTTGCATGGAGTGTTATCATGGCTACCACATTGTTACATTGTTTTTCATCAGTTTGGAGACCTAGGATTTATGGAATATTGCAACACACCAGAGCTAAAAATGCCTTCAGCACAGTCAGATCCCATAAATGTTTCTGTTGAGAAGGGCAGTATATCAACATAAATAAATAAAATAAAATAGATAATAGTAGACATTTCCTACCCTCTGATTTCCTACCCACATCTGCCTGAGGTGCCCATGTCATTCTGTCTCATGTTAGGGCTGACCTGGATTGTGGAAGATCCTGATTCAAATACATACTGACATAATGTCAAATGAACTGTGTTAGCTTTAGTTATTTATGTTTTTTATTGCTGGTAGTTCCATGGAAATGTTAAGTATCTGCTAGCTTTGAACACACATGGGGATGGGAAAAGAAACATTTTAATAATAATAATAATACTAATAATAATAATAATAATTATTATTATTATTTTGCCACATTTGTCAAAGGGAGGGGGAAGCCATCAATGTGCCCTTCAATCTCCACTCCAGTTCATAACAGAATCACTCCCCAAGTTTCTCACTTGACTGTTTTCCCCCCACTTTTTATTTCTTTTAAATACAGTAAAAAAAAAGCCGTAAATACAACACTTCACAGCATCAACAATGTAACATACAAAAATTCAATTAATAATTGAAAAAGTAAATAATAAAGTGCCTCCACCACCCCAGAGACCAATGATACCTCCACTTAATGTGTATATTACAACAATTAATAATATACTTCATAATACATAATAATACTTCAATTATATCCATATGCCCTCCATAAATTCATATAATCTTGATTAGGTTTACAATCTTTGCCTTCTATCAGTACTGCTTTTACAAAATCTTCCCAAATTTCATTATATTTATTTGCTTTTATTAACCCTTTTTAAATTTTTATTTCTGTTGTCAGTTTATCATCAATTACCATATTCCATATTTCATTATACCATTCATACCTTTGCATAACCCAATTCTGTTTCCAATATTTAACTATCACTAACCTAGCTGCCATTATCAAACTTAGGCTCAATTCTTTCTTAACTTCATTTATATTTTGTTTTTCAATCAACAATAACAACACAATTCTCAGTGACATTTCTAAGTCTATATCTAAAACTTCTCTAATTTCATTAAATACCATAATCCAAATCTTTTGTATATTATCACAATCCCACCACATATGTTTATAAGTTCCAATCCCTTTCCCACATCTCCAACATATATTAGAGTGCTTGTCCTCA